TAAGCCACCAACACTCATAGCGTAGAACCCACTTATCCATTAGGGTATTCATGTTTAAGGTATTATATTCCACAGGGATACTGGCCATACTAAGACGTATACAACAAGCATACTTAGGGCAAAATCAGATAACACCATCAAAAATAAGATAACACCATCAAACAAAACACCAATTTTACCAATTTTCACCAAATGGCTGGTTTATTTCCGACTGGAGGTAGTATACGCTACACAGTAGTACCTCGAAGTATGTGTCAACAATTTCGTATTTTCTCAAACCTTATTGGCTAACAGTAAATAATGGTATACTATTAATAGTGGCGCGGACTGTACTGTACAGTACTTACTGTACATGCAACTAAATTCAAGTTTTCACGTGCGAGTCAACCAGGGTTTCACGTGCGAGTCAACCAGGAACTGAAATTTCCACTTCCACGGAAATATACCGCATGTACACATGTGCGCGACAGTTATATACTCTACGGGTACACTAGTATTATTCGCTTGAACATCTTTATGTTGATATTTGTATTAAGTAGTCTATTTTGCAATACAGTACGATACTGTACCTACATACATCCTACAGACTTGTGCATGCGATGACCTTTGTTAATGATATTTCCGGTTGGTTGCGTTGATGAAGGACTTGCCCGAGAGGACTTCGCTTCAATGGTTGACATTTTTGGCCAACTTCATTTTCCTTTTCGCTCTACGATGGTCAAAGTCCTCATCGCCCTCAACGTGTTGGCCACTGCCGCTACGGCTGGCTCCGTCACGGAACTCCCCGAGTCTGTGACCAAGCTTATCGACTACTCCATCAACCCGTGCGACGACTTTTACCAATATGCGTGTGGCACGTGGCACAAGCATGCTGTGATACCCCCGGGCGAAGTACGAGTCGATACGACGTTCGATAAGATAACCAACCAAAACCAAGCCATATTGACGAAGATTTACTCTGACAACAAGACCAAGGTTGGTGAGTTTTACAACTCATGTTTGGACACGGCTACACTATCGTCGCTCGGTGTGACTCCGCTTGAGGACTCGTTCAAAACCATTCGGTCGGCCAACACTACGTTGGACCTTCTCATCGTGGTTGGTGAATTGGTCAAGAACGGCATCCCAGGCTTCGTGGACATCAAGTCCAGAGCTGACGACAACGACTCGACCAAGAACGTCCTCTTCGGTTTACGAACCCCCCTGCCGCTGGATCGCTCATACTATACAAACCCTTCCAAGTGGGAGACTGTCGAAGCCGACTACAAAGTGTACATTGCGTCGGTGTTGCAGCTAGCTGGCTACACTGCTGAGAAAGCGGCGGCTGCCGCGCCGGTGATCATCCGTTTCGAGAAAACTCTGGCCGGTGTGGACCTCCACAAACTCAAGAAGATCGAGGCCGTTGCGTCTCCGTATACTGCGTTTACGTACTCGCAACTGGACCAGAAGTACCCGCTACTCATCGGCTCATGGCTTAAGGCAAACGGCTTCGACATCTACGACCAATCTGGTGGGTCGAACGACTGGGTGGGGTTTAAGGACTTGACGTACTTTGACAAGACCGAACTGTTGTTGAAGAACACGACGCTGGACGACCTCCGCACCATCGTGGAGTACAAGCTCATCCATGCCTCGTCGAAACACTTGACCCCTGAATTCCGCACGGCCAACTGGAACTTCATCGGCAAGAAGATCAAAGGCGAAGAGGTGGAACCTTCTCGTGAAACGTTCTGCTTATCTGAGACGGACGAGACCTTGGGTGATCTCTTGGAACAGTACTTCATAGACGAGGTGTTGTCGGCTGATGCGGCCAAGACGGCCGAAGAACTGGTCAAGGTCTTGAAGTCGTCCTTCTCCACTGGCATTGCCACCGCCGACTGGTTGGACAACTCGACCCGCTCCAACGCGCAAACGAAGCTGTCCAAGCTTGGGCACTTGTTGGGTGGCCCGGAGAAGCTGCAGCTGTACCCCACGCTGACGTTTGACTCGAAGTCGTATTTGAACAACCGGTGGAAGGTGTCTCAAGTGAACTTCGACATCAACTTGAAGCTGAATGGCCAACCTGTGGACACGCCCGAGTTCGACTACGATGTCTATGTCGCCAACGCGCACTACGAAACCGCAAAGAATCATATGTTTTTCCCGGCCGGCGTTTGGCGAAAACCTTTCTTTGACGTTCAGTTTGACGCCGCCCAGAACTTCGGCGCCATCGGGATGCTCATCGGACACGAAATTACCCACGCGTTCGACGACCACGGCCGCAGACACGATGGTGACGGCAACAGGAAAAAATGGTGGTCGAATGCCTCTGACGCTGCGTTCGAAACAAAATCCGAGTGCCTTCAGAGCCAGTACAACAACTTTGTACTCAAGAGCGAAGTGAATGGCGCTGTGTTCCGCAACATCACCTCTCTGTTCTCTATCAATGAAATCATTGCAGACAACGGGGGTCTCAAGTCGAGTTTCCGTGCGTACCACGAGTACTTGAACGAGTTCCCGTCCCAGTACACGGAAGAAGCAGGCGACAAGTTGTTTTACTTGTCGTTCGCCCAAACCTGGTGCACCAAGAACACAGATGCCTACCTCAGCAGTACTTGGTATAAGCAGCACCCTCCCACTATATTTCGCGTGACAGGGGCGTTGCAAAACAACGCTGAGTTTGCCCGTGTGTTCCAGTGCCCCACCGACTCGTACTTGAACCCGTCGAATAAGTGCTTGTTGTGGGAATAGGGTTGATCGTAAGCTTAACTTGTTCATTCTTTTTTGTAAGGCATCCCCAATAGCGCGACGGTATAATCAGACTCTTGTATTTTACATTTGCGCTACCCCAGGAGACTGCGGGAAATGGTCATATTAGAACGAACTCGATGGAGCTGATGCCTATAATAGCTATGTTACACGATTGGACGAATTATCACTTTATCTGGGTGGATAGAAGCCTTCGCCGTCGCATCTTCGGTGGTGATTTGGTCGTCAACCTTGCTCCATGGAAGCGCACTTTTCTTCGAAACAAGAAACCGTTTCATTATTTTTATCATCGCGTGAATAGAATTTTTTAAAACAACACATCAAAACGATGTTAACGTTAACGTTATGTGATGTCATATTTGGAAGCAAAGATGACTAACAAAGTTGATCAACTTGGATGTTAAATTTGAGACAGCCACTTTCAAAGCCACACAACATAGCCTAATGTAAACTGACCAACCCGAGACTCAATTCGCGTGTTCACAAGCATTATCTCTACATAATGACGTATCATAGAGGACGCTACGAGCCATATTCATCGAGATATTTGCTTACAAAGTATGTTATATTTGCGATTATTTGCGGACACTTCACTCATGCTACAATGTTGCAATCGCCATATTTCTAGCTTTCAACGATAGCCTACAACTAAGTTTGCAATATCTGCATTCATTACACTGCTCGTAGACAAGCTGTCAGAGAGATATTCGATGTCAAAGTCATGTACAGTACTTTC